AGAAAAGAGGGGGCTGAAATCAACTTCCAATAGGTTACCCAATTTAAGCCAATTGATGCTCAGCACCCTTTGTTCAGTATAAGGCAAATGTTCAGTGTCTTTCTTCATTTGGAAAGGTACAATCACACATTTCTATTCCCAACATTGTAAAAAGAACAGTGCCCCATTTTTCAAGTTTAGGAGAGAAAAAAAATAAAAAATAAAAATAAAATAAAAAATAAATGTTAAAGGGCGAATATATAAAAAGGCGAACAAGGAATTTCGACTATATGTAGCTCGGGTTGTGAGTTTTTCTACCACAGCCACCAGTGGACCCCTGCGTTCGGACCCTGTGACTATAAAAAAGACTTTACGAGGCACTCGAATGGTGACAGAGAATGAAGAACCTCCAATTCGTTGATAAACGAGCTTGATATGTTTACTGAACGTTTTTATGCATAGTACATGTACAGGCTATTTGCAGCAGCACAAGCTATTGAGTTTTCGGAGGGATGCCATGCCAGGTGGAGCAGCTTTGAGGCGAAATCGAATGTATTCCCATTGGCATCAACTCCTGGAGTTTCAGAACCTGCAAATACAGAAACCCAACATTTAAATTTTTCTTTCCTTTTAAATAAAAGAGTGAATTGTGATCAGAGAGTTTTCGAAAGAGAGTATAGCTGAGGGGGTAACTTAGAACTTTTTTTTTTTCTTCTTTCGAAGGGATTATTAGTGAAATTAGCGTCAGCGTGAATGTGATTTGACCGGGGTCTTAAATAAACTTTTTCACACGAATAAAGTTCCTTTACTGTTTTACAACATGTTCACCACACCTCAATTTTGACACCATCAAGTTCAGCTAAATTACACCACACAGGTTTGGCATATAAAAAAGATCAAAGCCTGTAGTTGTTAGGAATTTGAATCACTTTGGGCATGTGAATTGTGAAGCTATTCCAAAAGGGGGAAAAAACGAGGTAGCTACTATTAAAAGCCCCTCAACTACAGTTCACCCTTGGTTAAAAGAAAATAGTTTAGGGCGTGCTTGGATATACAAAATTTTCAATCCATACTCAATCCAACTCAAAGTGTAACTCAACTTTAGCCCAACCCCATTATCCTCAATAATATTAATATAATTAAATAATATCAATCAATCATTCTTACACATCACATTAACTTTAATTCACTATTCATCCACTCACATAATTTTAACTAACCATCACTTCACTTCATCTCTTCTCCTACTTTTCCATCAAATCCACTTTAAATATTTGTATTTTAAATATTATTTTAAAATAAACTGCTAATCCCACCAACAAATAATCATACAACCTTTTCCAAATTAACAAAAATTAACCATGGTCAACAAAAAAATTAACCAAAAATCCATTTTATGTGGAAATTTTTGTATCCAAGCACCCCCTTAGCTACTGATATGAAGAGCAATTCATCTAAAAGCAAAAATTTCTGCGAAAAAACACTTGCATTCAAAAAGGAACATAGTGAATATGAAAATGTAGATGCAAAGGGGAAAGGGTACCTCGTCGAACAACACGAGTGATGCTGCTGCTCAAGGATCTGGAAGGTCTTGAGGGGGTCTGCACTTGCCTTCTGAATACAACCATTGAGTGCGTATTTAAGTAAAAAGAAATACTTTACCACACTTGTTCTTTAGTCTAATGAAAAAAAAAAGTACCTCATAGGGTTTTTGCTTGCTTCCAGGGTAGTAGCTTCAGTACTGCCGGGAGTACAACCAAACACACGGAACAAATTGCTGAAATTGTGAAATATTATTTTAGTAACACATAGAAAGATGAAAAAGTGTGTCATTATGATTTTAAAAGATACTTGAAACACCTGTAGGAACCAGTTGCCACTCGAAGACCATCACCACTCAGGCAGCACTCAAATTTATCGAATATAGAATCATTTTCATACAAGTCACAAAGCTGGACACATCATGAAAGAACAAGTCCATCAGCTCAACGGAATTTGTATGGCAAAAAAAATTAGGTAAAAATGGTCCAGAGTAGGGTAATTTTACCTTCGGTCTCAAATACTCATGAACTTGAAAGGTCGCAACTGGGCCAGAATCCATATTAATATCCCACAACTAAAAAATACCAAATGAGAAAGTTGAAAAGGCAATAAAGGAACAATGTATCCAAAAGTATTCCAATGATGACAACACTGGTATCTTCTTCAAAACATGTGGGCATTGAAAAAATTTCAAGTAGATCATGCCTATCGTCTATATAAAAGTCAAGGAAAAACAGAAAAAAGAAAGCGTAAGATAATTTAATTAATATTGATATAAAACACATTTCTCTGACATCAGGACATTTTAATTAAAATAAAATAAATCATCTATTGCTCTTGGAAAGCAGCCTTTACTGATCAAACAATGCAACATGCATTCACTCTAGCTAAAATTAAGGTGAAGATAAAATGTATAAATGAAGAAACCAAAAAAAAATCAGAACTGTTAAAACGATAATGAGAAACTGGTCAGACCTTAAGGGTCATGTAATCACGACTCAGAATATGTCTGCCATCCCTCGCAAACTTAATATCCGATATAGAAGCTATTATCTCAGTGAAAAAAGATCTTGATCCTGGTGCCTCTGGTTCCTCAAAACTGTTTAAAAATGGTAAAGGTAGTACAAGTCAAAGAACTATTCGGGCAAATGAGAACTTACGATCTAGAAAAACTAGCAAAAAAGTATCATTAGGAACTTGAAATAAAAACTGTTGCCAAAGAACTTACATCTTAGAATGTGAATCACATAATGCAGATTGCCGCAAATCAATGAGACGGATTGATCCTTTCGAACTGCTATATGCTAATGTGTGGCAGTGAGTAGGATGAAATTCGGCTGATGTTATCACCTCTTAAATGAGAAACAAGTGTCAATCAATGGATAAGTAGATAAGTATGGGGTTGTGCTGTTAGATTATGTCCAAGACTATAACCCAAACCACCTTTGTAGAATCAAATTGATCAATAAAATCCCACTACATTTTGATTGTCCCATTCTCATGCAGAAGATTATATACAACACAAACAGAAGAACAACAAAAAGAAATTATGCTAGCCTTAGAATAAAGACACATGCTTACTATCGAATCTGCAAACCAAAAGTTGAGAAAAGAACCATTATCATCATCCAATATTTGTAGAAGATGAAAAGTAAAAATTGGCCCGCAGTGAACTTAACCACCCCTGTGAGGTTGTGACCCAGAGAAACAAAATACGAAAGATATAGTAGAAATGAGAAAAGAATCTCAAAAAACGAGCACGGATTTGACTTACCAGTTAGATCCTCCATGTTCGTGGGCTTCACATCAACTATGTTAAAACTTTGATTGCTTATTTCCAAGTTCCAAAGATTTATCCGGAGGTCGTCAGCCGATATAAATGTTTCACCATCACTGCAACAATTATCAAGGGAAGTTAATTTAAAGCTCAAACAAATCAAAGAAGCAACAGAGTGCTTAAGGGTTGCACATAAACAAAAGGTTAATACAAATTGAGTTGGTAGTTGTATCAATGACATGAAATGTATTTGCACTTTACAAGGTTAAGGTTTTATGCATAGGTGAGTAAAGAAAAGTTGCTCACATCTTATAGAATTTAGTATCTCAAACATAAATTTTAGTGCGCGCACATGATGGAAATGCCAAAGGATATTATAATTGAACCACAACACATAGCACCAAATAACATAATGATTCAAGTCATTGGGAGGTCTGCCTAAAATGGTCATTATTAAGATGAAGTTCCACCACTGACATAGTAATTCCCATATAATTTAAGAATCATAAACCAACTTATTTAGGGATGTTTCTCTCAATCTTATACTTCAATTTCCTCAATTTTTAGCCAACCTGTGCAAAAAAAAATAGTTGAAGCTGCTCTCAGGCAAAGGGTTAGTTTAGTAGGAGAAAGAAAACACGCATTACACCGCCACAATGACAACCTGTCTAGACCTCCTGTTAATTAAGTGACGGTACTTGGAATCACTTATTGTTCAGAACAAATACGAAAATCAAAATCACCAGAGAATCTTAAACTAGAGAAAGGTAAGAAGCACAAGCACAAGAATCTTTCCAATTTATATCATTTTTGTTGTTCCACTCCGTGATTCTGGGTTAAGGAGGAAAAAGGGTAAGGAGCACAAGCACAAGAATCATCAAAATACATAGATCCCTAAAATTTCAAATCATTGTAATTACAGTTCTGTCAAGGAAACCTCAAGGGCGTAAGCAATTAATAGGTATAACAAGGAGAGAAGCAAGATGAAAGTTAACCTGTTATTTGAGATTGAATTGATATGGTAATCATGTGCATGTGCATATACTCTCCTGCATCTGGCATGAAGGCTCGTCTCATTGCTTGTGACCTACAGATTATATAATCAAGTTTAATAGAGGAAAAACAAAGGACAACATGCATAAAATAGTAACAATAATAACACTAAGGGTGTGTTTGTAAACCAAATTACTCAATCCAAATTAATTCATACTCAAAATCTAACTCAACTCCACTATCCTCAATATTATCAATATAATGAAATAATAACAACCAATCATTTTTATACATCAAATCAACTTTAATTCATTATTCGTCTACTCACTTAATTTTAACTAACCATCACTTCATATCATCTCTATCCTACTTTTACATCAAATCAACTTTAATTATTTTATTTTAAATATTATTTTAATATAAACTCAAAATCCCACTAACAACTAACTATACCACTTTTTCTAAATTAACCCCAATTAACTAAAAAAACTCACTTTGAGTGAATTTATTGGTTTACAAACACACCCTGAACCAAGCTTAGAATCAAGAAATTAAACTCATATTCAAGAAAATCCACACATTCTGACGGTTTAAGTTGTTTTCATATATTCAAACAGGACATAAGCTGACGCAAA